TGCAATGCAAGATTTACCAAACACAGTAGTTTTATTATATTACATCAACACATTTTTTTTCGTCTACACCGATTTACTTCGTCTACACTGGAATGCCATCGTCACCCATCAACGCATCGGTTTTCTTTTCATCTCACCTTTGAATCACATTAATCTCGTTTGGTAACATAATGAACTAATATTAGTATCATGCATAAGTATTATTAAACCCGTTCTCCCCTGGGCGAATTTATTCGCGCGAACAGAAAAAAAGTAGGAAGCGATTCCACTTTTTCGCAGCGAATTTATTCGCAAACCGATTATATCACCGGATTTCAGATATCACTTCGCGTCCCGCGAAAAAATTCGCCTAGTGGAAAACGGGCTTTAAACGTGTAAACCGGTAGAAAAAAAGTAGGAAGCGATTCCACTTTTTCGCAGCGAATTTATTCGCAAACCGATTATATCACCGGATTTCAGATATCACTTCGCGTCCCGCGAAAAAATTCGCCTAGTGGAAAACGGGCTTTAAACGTGTAAACCGGCGACGTGGTCTTTTTTGACACTGATCGCAATTTTTTTGTCTTCAAATACACTGGAATGCCATCGTCACCCGTCAACGCACTTTTTCACAGTCTCATTCTCTATATATTTTCATGACAAATCGTTCAACTAACTCCAATAATTTCATACTCATTTTCGCAAGAAAGCATCAAACAACCGCTTAACTTGCAATGCGAGTTCTACTAAACACATTTTAATTTTACTACGCTATCGTTACCCGTCAACGCTTCGACTTTTTCCCCCACCTTTGACCCGTATTGACGTCTTATGTATTAAGTATCATGAACATATCACGCATAATACACGTGTGAACAGGCACACTCTTGTGTTTTTTGACACTGATCGCAAATTTTTCGTCTTCACATACACTGGAATGACATGGGCAGACGTCAACGCACTTCTTCACATCCTCTGTTGTCTCATCCTCTTTATTCTATTAATTTATATGACAAATAGTTCAAGCAACTGCAAAAATTTCATATTCGTTTTTGCAAGAAAGCATCAAACAACCACTTAACTTGTAATTCGGCTTTTACTAATCACATTTTAATTTTACTACACCATCGTCAACCGCGACAGTGATATTTTCCCCCCGCACCTTTGACCCTGCTATGACGTCATTCGGCGAACATGACACCACCATCATCACGCGCACAAGTATTAGCGCGAAGTTCAAATTCACTCAGTCGGCTCAACCAAGGCTTCGGGTAACATCTCCTTCGCTCCGTCACCACACGCTGACGTGTGACCTGTTTACCATTAACTTGATTTAATTAAGTTAATATCTTTAATACAGGTCACATGACACGCAAACGTGAACCAGCACACTTCCTTTTTTTCACACTGATCTCATTTTTTGAACAATCTGGACGGTTAATGTTACGGTACCCCCGTCCGTAGAGCATGATTTCTTGCGTAAACAGGATGTGACATCACTTTTTGTAATACTAAAATATAATAAAAGTGTGCTGGTTCATGCTCCCCCCCCAAAAAAAAAAAAATCACATCTACTACTTCATTGCATTTTTATCACGAAATACTATATATGCATTGTCATCCCTATCCAACAATTGTGATCGAGTAAATACAAAATAAAGGCAAATGATCAGAAATATCCAAAAGCAATAAACCATTAAAAGAATAATTATCTGAGTGATTGGTAAATATGTTATCGATAATCGTAGCAGTACGTGACGTTATTAAAGGAAAAACATATAACCAAACATAATATTTAGAAATTCCGCAGTAGGTTGATGACTATGGTGATTCAGAAGATTCAAATTAAAATCACCCATTAAATAACAGATTTTGTTTTCCTTGGAAATTATTCCCATGAGAGTATTAAGGCTATTAATAAACCCATCTACGTTTTGGTTGGGTGGCCTGTAAACAATATCAACAATCATGTTTTCCCCTTTTTGTTAGTTATTATTTCTATAAACAGGGATTCGACACATGAATACTGAGGGAATCTTAAATCCTTACGTAGTTTATATTCCAACTCAGTACTTAAATATAAACGTAAACGGCCTCCAGATCTATCATTTCGGTAGCTATGTACAAAATTATATTCGTCAATATCAACGGCATGTGATGAATCTTGTAACCAAGTTTCAGAAATACCAATAACCGAAAATTTATGGTTAACCAAGAGAAGTAAATTTGTTAGACTGTCAAAATTTCGTCTAAGACTTCAAATATTTAAATGAAAAAAAAGATAAATCTTCTGGATATGCACAATTGTCTTCAATGCCAATGGTTTTACTTAAACCACTCTCTGTATAATAATCACAACTGCATATATCAGAATAAAATTAGAGTCTGGATCAATATTTTGGGATAACAATAAATTTCTGTAATTATCAAGAGATAAAGGATTAAACTTTAAGCAAGCGAGTCTGTCTGCATTTAGATTCACCCTACCGTTTGTCTTCTCGTACATAGCTAATTCAAAACTGTCATCATCAAGCTGATTAAAAGGCAATTCACACATGTTCAACGAAGCGAATGAAAGATAGTATTAATAAATACACACACAACTTATCTTAAATATGTTCCTTTAATTATCAAACGTCTCGTTGAATTCCTCAAAATCCTTCAGCGAAGCAAAAGCATGGGTTTCGGATTGGTTTTCATTCTTCTTAAGTAAGACTTTCCCTTGCCGAGTCCACACAAATTTAAAATTGTGTCGCCTTTTTAATTCTTTAAACTTTATTAAGGATAACCCGAGATTTTACAGTAAGACGTTCGTTTATATACAATTGGCAATTCTGTTGGAACCCAATATCCATAGCGCTTTTTGAATTAAAATTTCTTTTTTTCCTATACAGGGTGTATCAAAAAAAATGTCCCAAATGTAAAATTTTTCTTCAGGATATTTTGCAGAATTTGGCAAATTTTTGTGTTCCTAGGGATAGTTAAGACTTATCTGGTATACCTTGGCCAAGTTTGGTTTTTCATTAGCAAAATTATGTTACCGGGGGGGTTGTTCCTTTCCACTGATATTGAGAGAGCTTGTGCACGAGAATGTGAAGCTAAAATTGAGATATTATTTAGCTGTTTTAAAGTAGGAAAGCTTTTTATAAACTATCAAAGTTTCAGGAAAAATGATGCATACTGGGAGCAACGCGCGACCCTTAAATTGACAAATATTTCATTGCGCGCAGTGGATTAAATGCATGGTTGATTTTAGTGTGACCGATCTCATGCAAGGTTGGGCAAATGAATAAATTAAAGCAAGAAACTTAACAAAAAGACGAAGCGATTTAATAACAAGATTTTTATTCGTGATCTTAATCCTCAATATTTCCACCATTTCTTTCTAATTAAACTGTGGCTCATCTGAGCATGGTAAACACAGAACGGCGAACCATTTGTCTGTCCTGCTTCAAATTCTCCATTCTTTCAAACTCTTCAAATTCTCGAAATTCTCTCTTGCAGATCGCCTACGCTACCACCGGCAAATCTAGGCGAATGGACAGACAAATGGTTCGCTGTTCAGTGTTTACTGTGCTGAGACAAGCCGCAGTTTGCTTAGAGTGAAATGGTGGACATGCTGAGGATTAACATCAGGAATAAATCGCTTTGTTTTTGTGTTCAGTTTCTCGCTTTAATTTATTCATTTGCCCAACCTTGCATGAGATCGGTCACGCTAAAATCAACGATGCATTTAATCCACTGCGCGCAATGAAATAATTGTCAACTATAGGGGTTGCGCATTGCTCCCAGTATGCATTATTTTTCCTGAAACTTTGACAGTTTATTAAAAAGCTTTCCTACTTTTAGACGGCTAAATCATATCTCAATTTCAGATACACATTTTTGCACGCAAGCCCTCTCAATATCAGTGCAAAGGAACACCCCCCCGGTAGCATAATTTTGTTAATGAAAAACCAAGCTTGGCCTAGATATACCAGATAAGTCTTAACTAATCCCTAGGAACACAAAAATTTGCCAAATTCTGCAAAATATCCTGAAAAACGAAAATTTTACATTTGGGACACTTTTTTTGATACACCCTGTATATTGCATCTTGGTTATCACATCTCACAAATTTGACGATGATTGGTTTCATGCGTCCCCCAGCCGCAGGCAGACGATGACTTGTGGACCGATTCACAAATGTTCAACTCTAGTGCAATTAGATTCACAACTTGTATAATAGAACTGTTAGTATTCTCTGTAGTACTTTCCAGAATGCCATGAAATTCAAGCAGGTCTCTACGTAGATATGTTTTCATCTTTTAATACGTTTGTCGAAGCGACTAAGTGATAGAACTTTGCTGCAAGGAAATCTTGACTTTGCTTAATAGATTGCAAATCGCCTTTAGTTGTATCGATAAACTTAGCGAATAGATTATTTATTTGATCGGACTGTTGTTTTACATGCTGATCCAGCAACGCCTCAAAACCCAAAGGGAAGGCCGCCATATTCACATTCTCTATGACATTAGTTTCTGATTCAACCCTCGGATTACCCGTTTCTTCTTGTTGTTTTTTCTTCTTGGGAGGCATTTGATTACTGGTACTTTAAGACTGAACACAAACAAAATAATAATATTAAACAGAAATAACGGTGCTCGATATATACGTCTGCTCCGTCTGACTGACTGCTGAGTCAAAAATCAAAAAAAAAAAAATAAAAAAAAACAAAAACAAACAAAACAAAACCAAGGCGAATTTTCAACTCCGTCGCTGATGCCGGAGTAATAAAGGTTTTTATCAACTCTTGTAATCGTACCTTTATAAAGGGACAGTAAGCGATTGCAACAAACGTTATTTTCTGTACTATATTCAAATTACCTTTTAATGTTATCGTAATAATCGTATGTAAATTAGATGATCACATAGGTATATAAGCGGGAAAGTTGTTTAGTAAATTAAATTGTCGAAATCGGTAAACATCAATAAAGACCAATATATTACATGGTGGCAGCGAAAGGTTCAAGATTTTCAAAATGAACGAAGTAAGAGGACCCGGTGAAATGGATTTCACTAGCCCACAGAATCTCTCGGAGACATGGAGACGTTGGAGACGTGGCATGGAATATTATTTAACAGCAACGTGCACTGGCAAAACCGAAGCACAAAAAGTCGCTATTTTTATGTGTATGATTGGTAAAGACGGACAAGAAATCAAAGACATGTTCGAGCTCAAAACCGGTGAAGATGGACAAGCAGTGATTACCACAGCAATCCTCTTCGAAAAGTTTGAGGCGCATTGTAAGCCCAAAAAGAATCTCGTCATCGAGCGACACAGATTTATCACAAGAGACCAAACCCCTGGTAAGTCCATAGATCAATACGTGACTGAATTGAGAACATTAGCGGCTTCGTGCAAGTGGGGAGATTTGAAAGACTATCTTATATGTAGCCGAATCGTCAGTGGCATATTATCAAGAGTTGTTCTAGCGCGGCTATTGCAAAAATCAGATTTGAAATTAAACAAGGCTGTTGAATTATCAAGACAACAGATGAAGTTGTTTGGCAGCGAAATGAATCATGTAAATGAAGTAAGACGTGGTGGAGCGAATCGAGCCAAAAACAAAGGCAAGCTTAACAAAGTACAGGGAAAATCAACCGAAGCCAGAAAACAAGAAAACAAGCGTAATTCATGCGGAAATTGTGGTACAGTGCATCCCAAGGGGCAGTGTTTAGCTGATGGTAAACAGTGTAATAAATGCAAAAAAATGAATCATCACGCAAGAATGTACGGATCGAGCAAAAATGTTGATTTGTGTCAACAGGAGAAAAGCGACGAGTATCTGTTTCTAGAGACTGTGAAAGTCGAGTCTGTTGATCAGATTCGTCGGTCAGAAACTGAACATGTGACATTGTCATTAAATAACCAAGAGATTCAATTGAAACTGGATACTGGAGCGGAAGTCAACGTGATTCCATATTCGACCTTTCGACGAGTTGCAAAAGCTGCAAAGATAGAGCTGAGAAAGCCCGGTTGAGCGCTTATAATGGAGAGAACATTACAGTTAAAGCTGTTTGCACGCTCGAATGCGAACATAAAGGGACTATCCATAATTTGGAATTTTACATTACAAGCATAGAGAGCGAACCAGTTCTTAGTATTTCTGCATGCAAAGAACTTGGCTTAATAAGATTCATTAGTGCCGTAGACCGTAGCAACGAAGAAACCGAAGTATTTACGACAAGAATCAAGAAAGAATACCAAGATGTGTTCTCGGGGAATGGTTTTTTACAGTGGCCTTATCACATCGAGCTGGATCCAACAGTACAACCAGTAATAATTCCTCCAAGACGAATTCCGTTTGGTTTAGAGGCTCGAACGAAGACCGCGTTGGATGAGATGTGCAGTCTAGGGGTAATTGTGCCAGTGGATCAACCCACGGACTGGGTCAATGCGATGGTCCTTGTGGAAAAGAAAAACACTGACAAGCTGCAGATTTGTATAGATCTGCGACCACTAAACAAGGCAATCAAGCGAGAACATTATCATCTGCCTACGATCGAGGAGATCATAACAAGGCTGAGCGGAGCGAAGTATTTTTCCACCTTAGATGCGAGTTCAGGATTTTGGCAAATTTCTTTGGATGAAGAGAGTTCAATGCTAACGACCTTTGGAACACCGTTCGGCAGGTATCGTTACACACGAATGCCCTTCCGCATTCATAGCGCCCAAGAAGTGTTCCACAAGAGATTACACGAGTTATTCTATGATCTTGACGGTGTCGAGACTGATATTGGCGACATGCTAGTTTGGGGCAAACCGGTAGAACACGAGGAAAGGTTGGAAAAAGTGTTGCAACGAGCAAGACAGAGCAACCTCAAGCTGAACCCCGACAAGTGTAAGATCAGGCATACCGAAGTTTTGTACATTGGTCATGTACTCACTGGAGATGGGATCAAGCCAGACGCGTCGAAGTTAGAGGCGATTACTGATATGCCAGCACCAGAAGACAAATATGGCATACAGCGATTACTGGAAATGGTGAATTACCTGGCAACGTTTCCACCACACGTCTCAAAAGTAACGGCACCCCTCCGTGTGCTCCTCAAAAAAGATGTAGCGTGGCACTGGACTGAGCGTCACGAACAATAATTTTTCGACATCAAGCGCCTTTTGACGTAGACGAGCCCTGGTGTGCTGAAGTATTACGATCCTAAGCTGCCAGTGGAGCTGCAAGTAGATGCATGTAAGTCTGGGTTGGGCGCTGTTTTGGTGCAAGATGGGTCACCAATTGCCTATGCTTCTCGCTCACTTACAGAGACAGAGTGTAAATACGCTTAGATCGAGAAAGAACTTTTAGCAGTAACTTTCGGTTGTTAGCGGTTCCATCAATACATCTATGCCAAGAGAGTGTTGGTTGGATAAAGCGCCAGCAAGATTACAGCGTATGCTCCTACTGTTACAACGCTATGACATCGACTTATGATGCAAACCTGGAAAGGAACTGTATTCCGCTGATACACTTTCGAGGGCACATCTTCCTACGATTGGCAACGACGACGAAGATCTTGTGCTATGTGTACATGCAGCAACGGCAAATCTACCAGTAAGCGATAAGAAGTTGGCAGAGCTACGTCAGGAAACAAACAACGATAGGATCATGGTTAAATTATCAGAGATAATTCAAGAAGAATGGCTTAATCATAAGCGGAGTGTACCGAAACAAGTCAGTGAATATTGGGCATTTACAGATGAATTGGTTGCGACTGATGGTTTGATTTTCAAGGGTGAGACTATAGTTGTCCCTCAAGCAATGCGGAAAGATATTCTATTACAAATTCACGAAGGGCACCTTGGAATCGAGAGAAGCAAGCTTCGAGCTTGAGAATTGGTGTTTTGGCTGGGTATGACCAAGCAAATCGAGAATATGGTGTCCAACTGTCCAACTAAAACGAGTGCGGCAGTCATCAACAAGCTGAGGCAAGTTTTCACGGGACATGGAATACCAGAGACAGTGAAATCGGACAATGGTCCACAGTATAGCTCCACCGAGTTCGCGACGCTTGCAACGAATTGGAAATTTTCACATGTGACGTCAAGTCTGAAGTACCCACAGTCAAACGGTCTAGCAGAAAAAACTGTACAAACTGCCAAGAGAATGTTGGAGAAGGCTAAGCATGATCACAAAGATCCATATCTCGCTTTGTTAGAGCAGCGTAATACGCCAGTGGCCAACTACAAATCGCCTGCACAACTATCCATGGGAAGACGTCTACATTCGATTTCACCATGTACGACAAATCACCTAATTCCTGAGACAGTCTGTTATCGTGAGATGCAGGCCAAATTCCAGAAGAAGCAAGCCGACCAGAAGGACAACTATGATAAGTCTGCAGTGCCTTTACAACCACTTAAGGCGGGCGAAGCAGTACGTGTCAAGCAGGAGGGTGAATGGGGACCTGGAAAAGTCAAAAAAAAATTTTTCGTAGGGGAGTTGTACTATATTCAAATTACCTTTTAATGTTATCGTAATAATCGTATGTAAATTAGATGATCACGTAGGTATATAAGCGGGAAAGTTGTTTAGTAAATTAAATTGTCGAAACCGGTAAACATCAATAAAGACCAATATATTACATTTTCGTCTTGGAAATCAATGTTTGAATCCTTGGCATACCGTACGGTTTATTTGTGTGGGCACAAGCGGGCACAGCCACGCGCCGGAGGAACACATTTTCGCGCCTTATAAAATAATTTGGAGGATAAAACACATGTATTTTAAGATCTTTGTGTTGCAAATAGAGTCCAGATACTAAGTCTGATAGTTCACTTTTCAATTGGTAAACGAAAGTGCCACACTTGCTTCTCTTTTGGCAAATATAAAGATGTCTCGTATTAACATTTTATCGTTTCTTTCCCATTTGGTAACCATCAGTATTGTCCTCCAATGAAATGCATATGAAATACATCTCTCTTGAAAAAAACATACAGGAATTCTGATACTGATAGGGCATATCAGCAACATGTAACAGATATATAGCAGGTTCCATCTATTAAAGATGATATAACACATCCATATTGTATTGTAAGAACCCTTTCTTCTTCAAGTAAGAATACAGCATATTTCTATTTATTCCAGTTGTTCATATGTCACCAATCATGGGTCTGAATTGTAAAACTATATGACCAGAAAAATTGTTAATATGAAAAGTTTACCTAGAAATGTGGTACTGTACATACCTCAGTTGAATATGAATATGGAGTCATAAGGTGGACACTTTTCCAAGGTAGACAGCTGCTGTAATCCTATTTTTATAGTATGGTACTATGCTTACCAAAACCATCTATCAACTTGAACAAAAATGTTGAGTCACATCTATGGCCATAATCCACCACTGAGTGGTTTGGGAACAGGGGAATAAATTGATCATCCTGCAACAACATAAACAAGACATTTGAATGTTAACTGATCCAGTGCTATATAATGTAGGGTAATTAAATATGAGTAACAAAATAATATTTTACCTTCCACTGTTCAATAACATGATATTTATGTCTCTCTGTATGCAAATCGTCACCACAAATATTGCTTCTGCCCACAATATTTGTACGATTTCTTATCATGTTATTTACACAAAGAGGAGTTCTGAATAACTGTCTTTCCATTTCTTCTTAATACAGTCAATTTTAAACGCATTCGCCTACATTGTTTCATGCTTACAGCAGTTAATACAAGTTTACAGCGGTAGTATGGCGATCTTGAATATTATATTAACTGAAATCCAATAGATATTTTTTTATTACGATTGATTATGATTGGTTCTCCTTTGAATCTATATAAAAAATAATATAAAAAATATATCTAAACGAAAGATGGCTTACAGAAAGCACATACCGCATGGCACGAGCTATTGCCAGACGATTTGCAACACAAACTTTTTGCAGAGCATAATTATTGGAGACGAAGCAGGATTTGATATGAAAGGAGAAGAAGTTACCTCCCACAATGTGTGCGAATATGCACCTGAAGGGACAACCAACTGCATTTAACTTTGAACACATGAATTGCTGTAGAAAGCTTACTATTTGGGCAGCACTTTGCAGTAATGGCATAGTTTTTGGCCCTAACTTTCTTTTCAAAATGTGGATGCCTGGCATATATTCGAATGCTCGATGAATTTGCTTTTCCTGAACTTGCCATTCATTTCAACAATCAGCATCAGGAGGAAATGTTTCGAGGGCTCTAGTAAGCACACGATGGCGCTCCAGCACATCGTCTGGTTGCCGATGGTTGCGTTGAAATCGCCTCAATTAAGTTTTCCGGCAGAATCATGGAGGTATTATTTCAGACAAAGACTAACCAAGGCCAGGTTACTGAGTAATATAGAATATCCAATATGGCAGAAGCAATTCAAGTCAAACGTCCAAGGTTAAATTTGTTGGAGGAGGTTGATATGATCTCACAAATTTATCAAAAACAAAGAGTGGTGTTCCTTTCGGTGGAATAAAGAGCCTCTGCAGCTTTCTGGTAAGGCTTAAGTATTACCATTTATATACATTTTGTGATCACTTAGATGACTATAAATTATCAACCAGGTTTGTTAGCACACTTTGTGCAAATGAACCCCAAAGTTTAAAGAGCTAGTCATCATGTAGGCGTTTGTCATCAAAGTCTAAGAAATTGCATGCTAGCGCCTTGATGGAATGCTTTATTCTTTGCTGTTTTATGTGGCCCTCGGGTAGTAGGTTTTCTCTATCTAGTTGGTTTCCGTAGTGGCTATAGCCACTACAGAATCGATATGGGACCAACTAGATCGAGAAAACCTACTACCTGAGGGCCACATAAAACAGCAAAGAATAAAGCATTCCATCAAGGCGCTAGCATGCAATTTCTTAGACTTTGATGACAAATGCCTACATGATGACCATAAGTGCATTAAAGAGCTAGAGTTACTATATTTAATAGTTGTTGACATTTTAACTCTGTCAAATTGTGTATTTACCAGATAAAGGAGAAGAGAGCTTATCATGTGAGGATAACATACTTGAATCAAATTAAGTAGATATGGTATAAATATATTGTATAGTAAATATAGCATGAATCATTATAGTCTATCATAAACTATTGAATCACTGCAAATTTTCCAATATAGAAATTAATTCCTGATCTTTTATTACAGACAAATGATGTACTACAACCAGCATCAAATCAATATGTTGGTGCTGTTTCAAATGTTGATGCCTATTTTTCTGAAGTCCGCCGAGCAAGTGCTGTGGCTGGTGTTGGACTAAATAGCATTTGCCATTCAAGATTTTCATAGTGTTAAAGGAAGTTTAAAAGTTAAAGTTATTGTTTTACCCAGTGCTTGTCTGGCAATTAGCATAAATACTTTATTTTTTTACTCTAAAACGTATTTTTTACTTATCGGTTAATGAGTTAAAGTTTTATTTGAGCATCAAATCACTGCTGCATTAACTAACACTTTCTTATTTTATTCTAGATGTTCTGTATTATATTTCTTTTATATTCTGCATATTTTGGTGATGAATTCCAATTTCCTGACAAACACATTAGCTTATGAATCAATGAATGTGAATAAAAATGTGAAACCCCGTACAACAATATATGTTTTGTTTGTTTTAGGAGAACTGCTTTCTCTTAGTAGAACGTTCTTTGCATAACTTTGGTGGTTCTGGACTCGGCTGAGTGTATAGATGTTCATGTGACAGCAATTGCTCCAATTATCTTATGTCATTAAATGTATATGTGCAAGGAACGGGTTACTTGTATGCATGTTTACTGTAAGTTGCAACTGTTTATAATGCTTGCATACAGTACAGTGCATTGAATGAAGTATTCTTATGGAAACCTTGTGAATACAAAGTTATATTTGTTCTGTGTTCACTTGCTGTATCTTAAATAGTAACTGACATGTAACTTTCATAGCTTAATGAAGAGAAAATAAGCCATGTAACCACTGCATGGTAGTAAAACGATTTATTGTAGTGGTGGGCGATACCGATACCAAAGTATCGATACTTCCGATACTCAGAACTCAAAAGCTGGTATCGATACTTTTGTAAAATATCGATGTTTTCGATACTTGTCACGTGGTCAAACTATTGTTAATATTTGATGTTACATGAAGTTCTCCTATTAATATTTGCATGAGTACAGTTTTATTTCCAGTCATTTTCCAGGTGTTCTTTTAATGCAATCTTTTTTGTAAAATTACTCAAATGGCCTAAATGGCATCTATATCGAATGTTCGTCCACAAAGTGTAGTCTAGGATTATTTTGAAAAGTTAGATACCAGTGAAAAATGATTATTGTTGTTGTAAGAATACATTTACTGATAGTATGTGTATTTTTGTGTCTAATGACAAGTATCGGTATCGAAAAAGTATCGATACCACTGGTATCGATGAAAAAGTACTTGGTATCGTATCGAAATCGATACTCACGGTATCGCCCACCACTAATTTATTGAACTAGAAGTTACTATCGCAAATAAAGTGCTGCGAGTGGAGCTTATTTAGAGCTTATTACTAAATGCCAATGCTAAATGCTATTGCTCATTATTGTGAAACGTCATAAAAATATTGAAAATGGATAACACGAATTTAACATAAATTTACACAAGGTTTTATTATATTTTAAGTATTTTTACCAAATGCAACACGTAACAAATCAATATTACAGCACTTGTTAAAAGTGCGTTCTTCTATATCTAGCACATCTGAAATGTCTAAGAAATGTCACCAAACCCAACAGAACAAAACAAGAACATCAGAGTTAAGGCTACAGAGGTGTAAAAGTGCGTTCTTCTAAACGTAGTACTTCTTAAAAAGTCTGAAAATGTATGCAACTCAACCCAACAGAACATAGAATATCAACAATGAAATGAAATAAAATAGTATAAAAGCACGTTCTTCTAGTGTTCGGCAAAGTCTATGCAAGAGCAACATCATTAACTTTGCTTGTTAGTGAGTCATATTGAATTTTAATTTGTTTGCCAGCTCTTAAGATAGCGACCATAATGTTTCTCTCAGTTGAGGTGGTAAAGTCGAGTGTTAGTTCCAAGGTCTCTTTTAGCTGCTGTACTTCTTGGTTATAAAAGATAAAACGCTTCCTTTCAGATGGATCCATCGTACTTTGCACTAAGAGGCGAAGGGTGAACTGGCTGTCACATGCATTTAATATAACCAACGATTTGCAAGCCTGTCCCTGACATTCTCCAAAGAGGTTGTCATCTGGGAGAGGGGCAACATTTTTCTTGCAACTCGCACAGGAGAGAGTTTTGACAATTTCTTGTACCTCGATAACTTTTCCAGTTATAGTTGCAGACGTTAACTGTAGGTTGAGATCAATAGCAACTAGTGGCTGATCAAATGGAGTGGTTTCCGTTGCCTCGAATTCGTCACTTTTCGGTGTGTTTAGGTATTTTTCACCCCTGTATATTTTAAGTTTAAAGTTCTTAAAAATATACGTGGTATTTTCTTTCAAAGTATCGACGTCCGATCCCCAAAGCACTGCCTTTATACAGCCGGTTGTATCTCTCAGTATGACTTCTTGCTTGTTCAACATACCTTGATGCTGAGTACGAATTTTTTTGACAGCAGTCATTTCTGCCACTTGGGCTTTCAGTGTGATGAGTTGTTCAATGGCTAACTCATTACAAGCTGAAATGCTTTTTACCATTCCTGTTGTTGTTGTTAATTTATCGGAGTGCGCGAAGTCGACCTTGGTTGAATCTAATGCGGTTACTTTTGTATACTGGTTGAAGATAACATCATCACCTTGAGATGTTTTAACAAAGTTGGATACATTTACTGGCGATTTCGTCTGTTGGAAAGTGTGAAGCTCTGTGTGTTTAGTTGGTGTAAAACACACAGCACAAACCACGCTGTCTTTTTGCTGCACCATGAAATTGAAGTATTTTCTGTTGGAGGATTTTGAATTTTTCACTGGTGAGACGCTGTGGATGTAGCCCTTTATGTTGGAATCTAGGTGAAATACGGATAATTTCTAATTAGTAAAAAGTGAGGTATAAGTTTAATTTTGCTGCACCATGAAATTGAAGTATTTTCTGTTGGAGGATTTTGAATTTTTCACTGGTGAGACGCTGTGGATGTAGCCCTTTATGTTGGAATCTAGGTGAAATACGGATAATTTCTAATTAGTAAAAAGTGAGGTATAAGTTTAATTTTGATAACTAATAACATCTTTACCTGTCATTTTTCGTTCTAATTTTGGAACTTCTGAGACGTGCTTGTAGGTTTGTTGCAGGCTTAAGAGAGAGAAGAGAATGGTTAGATACTACAGTTTGTAATTAAACTACATGTTATATATAACATGTAGTTTAATTAGAACTAATAGTTCAGTCTGGCTAACTTATTAATACAATCTAAACAAAATTGACCTTATTTATGTGCTGCTTTATTATTTACGTTTTAATTAAAATTGTTTATAAGTGCTGAAATGGTGCGAACTTTGTTGTTTGAGCTCGTGCTTTTATAGAAGTAATTAAACCCAATCAAATCTCTACATGTTGCTTTTGCAGTGTTATCTAATCGTGCTTCCTCGTCAAGCCTATATTGTAAAGTTGAGGATGATTTTAAGATAGTTAACCTCTCAAATGTCATTGGCTCAATAACACAAGATGACAAAGTTTTGACTCTACTTATAGCAACATAAGATACTCCTGGAGTCCTTTCTGATTTGCCAAGATCTATCATGAGACCTTGACTCTTGTGAATAGTGAGCGCATGAGCAAGTCTTAAAGGCACCTGTTGTCTTTCATGAAGGCCGTTTGGTGACTGAGCTGACACAGTGACGGGGCATATTGGTACACTTGATGGCAGTGTATCAGTGATAGAAGGTCCCCTGTAATCATCAAACTGAACGATAACTGCAATAGGTAAATCTGGTGGTTGGTGATTGTTGTGGTAAATAATGTCAATAACTATTCCAGTGGCTCCATTACAGAGACCAACTTCTGTCCATAAATTCATTGTCAGCATAACTTTCGCTCCTTTTGCAAGGAAGATCGTTGGATGTAGACCGGACATTTCATCACTTGATATGTTTTTAGCTGCAACTGATGAGTGGTGAGCATTAATACGAGCAATAGGTTGTTGACGTCTAGTGAGTTGATCATGATTGTATGTTGCAACTTCAGCATTGCTGTAAAAAAGCCTAATAGCATCATCAAATTCTGAAATATGAACAATACTAGATGGTTGACGTGTTAACAATAATTGCCATTCTTCTTGTGTTGATTCGCCTCTTCTGAGTCTCAAAAGCAATTCTCTAAATTGCTTCTGTTCTGAAGATACACCTTGAACTCGCTGATTAACAGTCAGTTTTACAACTTTGTCAAACATTCTGTATGTCTGATACCCTTGTTCGCCAACAAGATTTGATGGTTTAGCATGAAAAAAGGGTTTATCTGCAACAGGTGGTAATTGACCTGGGTCACCAATCAAGATTAAGGATTTACCGCCGATAATTTTGTCATTGCGGCCTGTGGCTTGCTTGCAACGTCTATCTATAGGCCCGTTTACACTTGCAATTTTTGCTGCGATTTTGGGTGCGATTTTTTCTGCTGACGTGATGGCGATACGAAATCGCCAATGTAAACACCCTGCGATTTCAGTGCTGGTATTTCAGTGCAATTCAAGTGCAAGAAGGTGCGATATTTTCGATCCTGCTCGAAATTTATCGCACCTCACTGCGATTTTTGCTAAAAAATCGAACAAAACTTGACTGTGCCACTCCTGCACAGTGTTTTTGGCCAGCAAAAATGGCGGAAAAAACAAAAAAGGCGGAGAAATCTAAAAAGGAAAAGGTATGCTGGACAGTCGAGGAGGAAGAGCTTTTGGTTGAGTTATGGCCAAACTATGAATGTTTGTATAAAACTAACAGTCTGGAGTTCAAGAGAGTGGACAAACGGCAGTCTGCCCGCGAAGATATACGAAGGAAACTAGAAACAGAGCTTGAAAGCTCGTTCTCTGGTAAAAGCATTTAGCTTTTAATTTGATAACAAAACAGCATATGATTTAAAAACCTATATTAACTACATGTACTTCAATGAAATAAAAAGCTATACGAATGATAATAGTTTTTCAGACAATGTATTTAAGCAAACCTTCGCAAGATGCCATGAATGCCAGTCTGTTTTTCAGTTTTTGCTTGTTTGGTAAACAACTTTTTTCAAGATCACCAGTGTTTTAAATCTTGTCTCTAAACTTTATTAAAACCAATTGTCGGTCTTTCTCTTTATCATTCAAGATGCAGATATTAAAGCTAAGATAAGGAACTTGCGAACACAATACGGCAAAGAGTTGGGAAAAGTAAGAGCTTCCGTAGCAAGTGGTGCAGGAACAAACAGCGTTTACGAGCCAGCATGGCGATTTCATAATTCTCTGCATTTTCTGCGAGACAGTATAACACCGGTTAAAACAAAGCCAACATCGGGCGTCCCAGTCGTTGCATCCGAGCCAGCATCATGTGAAGTTACATAGGCACCCGGTGAAAATATAAACGACAATGGCAATGAGGATATATTAAACGACACAAATGAGTTGAACGATGAAGACGACGACATATCCATATCAAGGCCATTTGACATTTTAACACAGTCTCAAAACGACCCCTGTAAGTCGGCGAAGTCGAAAGCCAAAGTCCGAGAAAACATGGAGAATACTATTTTGCAAAAGTCATTGACTGTGCTGGACAAACTCGGAAATAAACGAAAGAACAAAGAGGAACTCGACGCCGATGAAACGTTCGGTAGGCACGTTGCACATTCGTTAAGGCAAATCGAAGACCGACGTAGTAAAGAACTGCTGAAACTAAAGATTCAGCAACTTTTGTTTAATGCTGAGTTCGGTGGACAGGATCAACTGCCATCCGCTTCTTGGGCATCTGAAAGTCAAAGACTTATGTTTTAATTGCTTACTAACTGTAAAATTTTACAATAATATGTCATTTTTATTAAAAACGTTTATTAAAAGTATATCCAATGAATATATACTTACCAGCTGTCTTTCAGTGTCACTGAGATTGTCACTTTGTGTTTGATTGATATCATGATCAACGCCGGCTAATCATACCTTAAGTGTTGTAGTGAACACGATATCCAACGCTTATTTCACACCATATATGTGCAATAACTATACAGAATCTATAATTGGTATAATCTATGGTGTCCCATGTCCGCCAAAAATCAACTTTCGGCATTTCACCATATCATATTTTGAAGATTATATTACTTCTTGTTCGGAGCACATTTTTATCTATTTGAGATAATATATTTGTTCTGCGTCAATAAGAAAATAACATTATTCTGGGGAATCGCAGATTTGTTCGTTGAAAACACAACTCATTTTTTGAAGACCAACTTTTGTTACCCAACCGCAATCCAGTGTCTTTAAAGTTCGCGGGCTCACTACAAATTTTCAAAATGGAGGAAGAAGACAAGCAATATTTGCTACAGGCAATTTCCGATGTAGTAAATTCTGTCGATCGTTTTTCACAGTCTCGAGATGGAAGTATAGACTTCCAAGAGCTTATGTTGAAACTTGACTTTTTACAACGGTTATTAGTAAATATGAATATTGATGATTCCATTTGTGGAAACGTTGGAGAGGCGTACAACATTCTTTTCGATATGGAACAAAGAATGGAACAACAATTCAATCGAGAAGCTCAAACAAGAAGTGAAGATAACAATGCAACCCCACAAGTGGAAAGTAGAGGAAATCCTGGGCGACCCTCGTACGATATAAAAGAAGAACAATTATCATTTCTTCTAGAAAAAGGGTTCAAGGTTTCTGAAATTAGCAAAATAATCGGCGTCAGCAAACGGACAATTGAGAGAAGAATGGCGCTTTTTGGACTCTCTGTAACAGGTACCCCACGCTACCCACGATCAATTTAATATCATGTCAAATAAATAGTTATAGTTATATACATTATCTGTAATCGACTCTGTACGAGGTTGAGGTAAGGGTCCCAAAAACTTTAATAAACTTTCTCCCAATATTGATGTCATCTCAATTTCGGTAAAGGCAAAGGTGAGATTAAAGTAGGTGTTTGGGTGTACTATTTAAGAACGAAAAGAAAATGGCTAAAGGAAAAGATCCATTAAATAATACTACTTTTACTTTCATTT